AAGAGGAACAGGAAGCTATTAGGCTAGCAGTAATGGCGGAGATGAAACTCGCTCACTTCTGGACCCTGCGTCCGAGCACATGAAAGTTTTGGCGGGAAAATCGCTAACTCATGAACCAGGAAAACTGAAAGAATGAAATTTTAAGGGATGTTCCCAGGCCCCACGTACAAATTAAAGATTTTAAATTCAGCCCTCAAATCAGATTGTTTGTTTGTAGCACCTGGTTCTAGAAAGACGAAGGGTAAAGATAAGCATTGTTTTATTAGATTACTTTAAAATAGAAGTTTTATTACGGAAAAGTGAAGTTTTTTTAGATTTATCAAATTCATCTAATTTTTTTGTGCCTAATTTAACATGTTTTTTTTCTCAATAGACATCAAAGATCAGTTATGTTTTTTTGTCTTCTTCAGGTACAATCTATGCAGAAATGCTATTGCTATGCAACGGCGTGGTGTGGTTGCTGGAAGGGCTAATTTTGTTGTCAATTTTGTGCCACAACAAGAAGCTTGGGTAGTGGAACGAATGGGAAAATTTCACTCCATTTTGGAACCGGTAAGATTTTCTTCTCCGTACATTGGTCTTATGTTGTTCCAACTTTGCATTCTTTCCTATCGTTAATAATCACATGCTTACTTCATTCCTCTGTTTTTGGGTTTCTCTCACCCACATAATTCTAAACATTCACAGGCAAAGGAGTAAACAGCGGAAAACGCCATAGGTGAGGGACCGTATAATTGAGGTCCGGGGGGGGGCGGCTTTTATAGTTTTTATGCGTTTTGTGCATTTAAGAAATGCAGAAGTGCATATATCCCAGGATTCAGTTCCCAAATAAGCCCTAAGTAATAAACAGTGCGTAACGATCAAGACCGTAACTGTTTCCCGTGTTATTTCTTAAAAAATACATTGGATCTTTTCAGGGTCTAAATATTCTTCTGCCATTTTTGGATCGTATCAAATATGTGCAGATATTGAAAGAATTGGCAATTGAGGTACCACAGCAAGGTGCCGTGACAAGTGATAATGTACAACTGCAAATTGATGGAGTTTTATATCTTCGTGTTGTGGATCCATTTAAGGTTAATTCATCGTTTTGTTATAAAAAGGACTTTCCGGATCGATTAAACCCGTTCACAATTCAGTCTTCCACTCCTACCAGCATGCAGAGTCCGGTGTGTGTTTACAGCTAAGGGATGAAACACACAGAGACTGCATCGTAAAATGTCTTTTTGTACATGACACCTAAGTTCAAGCTCCTCCTGTACTACTCCCTACTACAACTTTCGTCCGACTTGCACAAATCCGATTTCGAGTCCTGCTCTTTCACTTCTCATTCTTTTGAGCCTGACTCGATCTTTGCCTTTTCCTTGACACTTTTTCGAATAACTCTTTTACCGAGTCAACCTCTTCTGTTTTAGCCCCGACCTGCCGATCGATCTGATCGGAGACCAAATTCGTTCTATCCCAAAATCTGATTTTAACAAATTCCGATTTTAATCAAGCCATTTGCTTGAATTCCCGCATTCGGTTAAGCTTGATCCGGATTTAGCCTCTTTTGTTTTCACTGGACTCAATGTGAGTCGAATTGAAGTTTTTTTATCTCATTCTTATTCGGGCTTAATCTCATCCTTATCTCATCCCCAGAATCGTTTTACATAGGCTTTTATGTGATTGGATTCGACTCGAACTCCGCTTCCGACGTTTGTGCCCGAATCCCAGAAGCTTTGAGTGACCATTGCGCCGACGTTTTTGGCTGGCCGATCGCTTTTTGTATGAAATCCATGAGAATTCCAGTTCGGAAGTCAAACTTCTTGTGAAAGCCAGGGAGGTATTCGGAAATAACGTTTGCTAATAGCTGCCATTACTCAAAAGCAAGGGCTGAAAATAATGGTTTGGACTGCTTGACACACGCCAGTACCTGAACACCACGATCGTCATACTGGCGAGGTCCAGTCGTGATGTTGTGCTAAGACGTATATGACTTAATGGACCGAAACGTCTTAATTGTTTTTTCCCACTGTTTTTTCCTCTGCCCATACACCTTCCCCACTTTGGCACCCATCAACATGGATGCTACAATCGGCTTAGTATTGAAGCTGAGCAAATAACTTATTGGTGGGACAAGTTTCTCATAATGAAAGGGGAGTCGAGTTTTCGACTTTTAGAAAAAAAGGGCAATTCACCTGGTTTAGCAGTTGGCAGATTTCGGGGAATTGATACTAATTTCGTGAACTAACTTTAAAAAATATCTTCCTCAAACTCTTTTCAGGCATCTTATGGTGTGGAAGATCCGGAATTTGCAATAACTCAACTTGCCCAGACAACAATGCGCTCAGAAGTTGGCAAAATTAATTTAGATACAGTTTTCAAGGAACGTGAACAGCTCAATATTCAGATTGTTGGTGAGTTTGTAAATGTAGGATTGTTTCGAAGTCTGTGTATATTGACCTTTCAGAGGAGCTGACGGACATTTCGCGATGGCGAGGAATGCTATTTGTGAGATACAAGCCGTAGATTGGATTCTGCTAGTGAAACAACCAAACCTTCTCATAAGCGGAGCAAGAATGGACTCCTGACGGGTAGGGGAGGGGGAGGTGCGAAAGGGAGTTTTCTTTAGTTTTAGCTTTAGACCCGAACTTTTGTAGCACTGAAGCTTGTGGGTTGTAGGCGAATCCGGTGGGCGGGGGTGGGAGGGAACGAAAGACCTATCGTCGTTCTCTCTCCCCTTCCTCCCGCCCTCTTCGCTCCCCTCCTCAACTCTGGATTCGCCTATGATCTTTCAGCGATTCATTCATTCGTTTCGGTGGTAAATTGGTACTGGCCTGAGAATCAAACTCGTTGTTAATTTTCTAAGCATCCGTAGAAAGCAGAAGCAATAGACTGATTCGCAGACTCTGATTAGTACTGCGCATACTATCACCTAAGCTAATTTCGAGTACATCAGCATCTCAACGATAATGGTTTATGGAAGGGTTCTGTTCTTATTTTTATTATTTTCGTTTTTCATATTTTTTTTTTCCGGTTTCGTTTAAAAATGTACGGTTTATACTGATAGTTCGTAATTAAGCATTTAGGCCTGTATGCTGCGTCAAATTTTAAGCATAGTTTAACACTGCAAGCATATTTTTAACAGATCTTTTTTTTGTTCTGCAAAATTCTACTTTAATTTGAAACAAATATTATTTCTTGGACGATTTTTTTTAGAATCAATAAACAAAGCAGCCGAGCCATGGGGATTACAGTGTATGCGATATGAAATTAGTAAGTTATAATTATCACCATTGTCAAAGTACAGTGCTGTAAAAGTATGCTTTATAATGTTCGTTCTTTCGAACGTCCCCTTACTGGGTGGAAGGGACTTGAAAATAAAAAAAAAGAACTTAATTTCAAAAAAAAAAGAAACAAAAAAAAAAAAACAAGAGATCGATGAAATAGACCGGTTATTGCTACCAACAGGGGCCATACGCCCTGCCGATAATCTCAAAAATAGCCACTGCGCAGTATCAATGTTCAACAGTACAGAATGAGCCAGAAAGCAGTGGAAATTGTATAGTTCTTATATCCTGGGAAGATTCGAGGCTCAAGGAGAGGGGTCGTAGGAGGTAAAGATGAGCGAATTGGCCTTCTCGTTTATTTCTTAATCGTACTTGCTGCTTTTGCTCTTTCTTTCTTTTCCCAAAACTTTTGAAAAATTTGTTTTTTTCCATTTTTTTTTTTTTTTTTTTTGTACAGCAGTTTGGCATAATATACACAGATGTTCAAACTGATGAATAAGTTTAAGTCG